GTAACCATGGTCCCTTTTCCAGGCCATCAGTGGAACACAATGATTAAGTGCTTAAAATCATTTTTTTTTTTTTTTTGCTAGATTCCCCAGACTCTTGCCTAGCCTGCCTTGACTCTCCTCCCTGAAGGATATCCAATACTGCTTTCTGTGCAGTCTGCAGGGGGCAGTGTGGTTCCAGGCTGGCCCAGGTTCCTCAGGCTGCTTCGGCTGGGTCTAGACTCTCCCAGCAAGAGAACCTCTCCCCAGGAGTTAAAGGCAGGCTCCATTCTCTGCCTCGATGTCTCCAGGCTCATGAGGCATCACCAGACTCACACTTTCACACAGTAAGCTGGGGCATCCTCACCAATCCAGCTGCATCCAGACTCCATCCTTCCTCCTTTCCATCAGCTCTCAGCACCAACTCACCCTGCAGTCTGTGCCAGGCCTCCTCTCCAGCAAAAGATCCTCCTTTATGAATCTGGGAGTCCATAGTGCTCATCTCTCCAAAATTCTAACCCCCAGCTGTTTCCCCCTCCACTCCACTGCTCACCCCCTTGCTCACCCCAGAGTGATGATATTGCTGTTACCTTGGTAACAGATGCTTTGTGGGTGGGTAGGGGGAACGGACTAGAGAAAGAAAGCAGTGGCTTCAGGACACTATCAGAGACATGGAGGGTGGGGTAGGCAAATTGGTCCAGGGACTGGGAAGGGGCAGCCAGGGGCTATGACCTCCACCCCCCAAACATAGCAGCTGTCAGCCCTGCATCCCTAGCCTCAAGGAGAAAAGAAACAGAAGGGGACATCTTCCTGGAGAAGGGTTTTTTTCACTGAGGAGAAGGAAACATCCCCAACTCCATTATCCCCTCACATAAGAACAGGTCTCAGCCCTGCATCCCTAGCCTCAAGGAGAAAAGAAACAGAAGGGGACATCTTCCTGGAGAAGGGTTTTTTTTCACTGAGGAGAAGGAAACATCCCCAACTCCATTATCCCCTCACATAAGAACAGGTCTCCTGGAGAGTGTGGGCTTTGTGGTGGGGAGTGGGGGGTTGGGGGATGTGAGGGATTGCATGCACTGGACCCATGCTGTTCCCCTCCAGGAAGCCTGGAGCATAGAGAGAGGGAACAGCTCACCCAGGGAGTGTTAGGGACAGTGCCAAGGGCAGTGGGAGGGTGGCCCTATGCCAGTGTCCTGAGCTCCAGGGGCTGGTGGCAGCAGGGGATGGGAGGGGCCTCCTCTAGCCCCTAGGGACCTGGCTGTCCCAGATGCCACAGCCGGGAAATGTGTCGGGCACTTGCGTAAGAGCCTTCTATATTTCCATAAAATCATAATTAACGCTGCCTGCCATGGGCCTTAGCTCATTAGAGTGGTATCTGCCTCTGGGGCCCTCAGGTGGGCAGGTGGGGCGAGGTGGGGGAGATTGGGGCAAGGCCAGGCCTCTCACTGTGTTCTCCACACTCCTGGTCCTGCTGAGTTTGGGCCCTCTGCCTCTCCCCAGCTGAGAGAGGAGAACTCAGACTGGGCTCCCAACCATGATGGACTCCCCACCCTAGGAGCTCCAGTTCTGAAGCTGGAGGGAAAGGCCAGCCACTCATGTTTTCAGTTTGAGCTGTCCTTGGCAACCCATAGGGCACAGGCTACAGCAAGGAGGGGCTTGGACTGGAGGGGTTTGTGGGAGAAACTACGTCAGTCCTTATGGAAGGAGAGGAAATTCCTCACATCACAGAATCTCAGCCACAGAGTGAAGTGTCCCTTGGGGGTCATCCAGGCCAGTGGTTCTTAATATTGGGGGGGCCTCAGATTTTCTGAGAAGCAGACAAAAGCTCTAGACTCTGCCCCAGAAAATGTTTTTTTCTTGTTTTTGGGGGATATTTTTGGCAGCCGGCGGGTACAGGGATCAAACCCTGGACCTTGTTTTTATCAGCACCATGCTCTAACCAACTGAGCTAACCAGCCAGCCTGAGAAAATGTTTACTATCCTCCAAAGGACAGTAAACCCCCTTTTACACAGCTTCAAGGGGTTCATAAACTCCCCAGAGTTTACCTGCAAGCCCAAGGTTAAGAATCCCCAAGAACAATGATATATATCTATTGTGCACTTACTCTGTCCAGATCTTAACTCATTTAATCCTCAAAAGAACACTAGGAGACACACCACTATTACCCCTATTTTAATCCAACTCCTTATTTTAACCTAATCTAATCCAATTCTGCTTATTTAAAAAGAAGGAAACCAAAGTCTCTCCAGAGATGGACAGTTCTCTGCCCAAGGTCACAGAACAGGAAGAAAAGGGCAGAACCAGGATGAGGACTGTGCTCTCTTACTGTGCTGGTCATTGTGCCACATGCAAATTTGAAGTGATCTGGTCCATTCCTCTGTCCTGGTGCTCCCCAAAGCCCGACGCCCACTCTTTCTAGCTTAGCCCACCTAGGAAAAGACACCCCAGTAGTTCTATTAGCATTTCTGAGGGAGCCCTTCCAGAGTGTAGCTGCCATTTATCCCCTGTAGCACCTGGCCCTTGCTCTGCCCACCCCTCATTTCTGCCCTCCGAATCTGAGACGGGACAGTGTTCCTCCCTCTCCAGGAGAAGCTGGCCCGGCTGCTCCTGTCTTATCTCTGAGCCACAGAAGGCTCTGAGACAAGACTCAACTCAAGTCTCAACTCTCAGGGAGGTGTCGGCACTGAAAGCAGTGACTCAGACTTAGTTCATGAAAGACCGCTCTGAAACACAAAGGCTGAAGGCCAGAAAGGACATCCAGAGGTCATGGGATCCAGCCCCCTGCCTCCTCCACATTTGCCCACCTCAGGCTTCTGATGCCCAGACCAGATGGACCCCAGGGTCCACCAACTTCCCTGTCTTTCTTTGGTTGCCAGTACCACTGATCCCCTGGAAATTCTTCCCGGTGTCTAGTCAGCATCTCTTTATCCATGGATGGCCACTTTTGGGTTGGTTCCCCCATGGAATACCAGGTTCCAGATGGCCAAGGAAAGTGAGGGAAGAAAGCTGCGTCCTTCTCTCCGCCTCAGGGAAAGCACTGGGGAGGGACAAATATCCCAGAAGACAGAGAGGAAATTAACTTTCCTTGTCTGTCTTGCTTGCACTAAGTGCCATATACTACACTATCTCATTCATTCTCCTCACAGTGGGGTAGGCACAATCACTATTTTGCAGAGGAAGAAATCAATGCTCTAAAAGATTTAGTTGCCTGACCAAGGTCACACAGTTAATATATAGGTGTTGAACTCTAAGGAACCGAAAGCCCCTGCTCTTCGGGAGGAAACAGGAGGACTTCCCACCAGGAGGTCTCCAGACACAGTGGAAGCCCCTGTTCGTTCCAGCCCGGGACAGATGGAGGGCCTGATGATTCTACCTCAGGGTGCTCCAAACATCCCAATGTCTGAGTTGCCCAGGGAGGGGGAGTTGGGCTGGCGTGGACTGGGCAAAAGAAAGAAGGACAGTCCTCAGAGGGGATGGGGAGAAGGCTGGTACTGAATGGGCCTTTGGGGGAGATGGTTTGAGGGCTGAGCTCAGGATTCATGCCAGCTCCTTTCAGGAAAGCTAGGGGCCAGAGGGAGTTTGCAGCTGCAGCAGATGGATCAGGACAGGGAGGGGACCAAGCCTTCATAACCGTGAACCCTCGTGTCTGCCCTTGTCCTACTTCTGTCACTAGCAAATAAATCTCTATTCCTGGACTCAGTAACCTGAGCAGTGCTCCAATGGTGAGCTCATCCTAGGGCTGACAGAGATCCTATGAAAGGCTTTGTGTGTGGGGTGTTTGTTGGGAGGGGTGTGCTCAGCCCCTGTCCTCCAGGGCTAGCAGCAAGGCAGGACCCCCTTCATCACCCCAGGGTCCCCTGAGTTACCCCCTACCCCCAATCTTACCACCCACGGAAGAGGAGTAGGGAGACTTAAACCCAGAAATCTCTCCACCCACACCCAGGGGAGGGTTCTTTCAATCATCAGCCTACCTCCTTTGCTTTGGACAGGCCAAGAGATGAAGGTGGACCTGTTGGTAAGGCCAGAAGGGGCAGAAGGAAAGGGGGCTGGAGGTGAGGGAGGGGGACTTAGGGAAATGGGTCCCAGGTAATCAATATGCATTAGAAGAGGTATCTTCAGACCAGGCAGAGGGAAGACTTTGGAGGGTGAGAACTTCTTCCCCCCACCTCTCCCTACCCCCTGATCTAACTCCAATTGTGGTAGGACCTTTAGGAGAGGGGCATGTCTTAGAGAGGTTTGGGGGCTCTGAGTGTGAGGACCAATGCCCCTTCTTTGCTGAAGTCCAGACACCAAGACTGGAAAGAAAGTCAGTTGTCCTGCTCTCCATCCACAAAGGAGGAATTGTCTAGTCTAGCCTTTGATACATTAAGTTCTCTCTTCTCTGCTTCAGGAAACTCCTACGCCATAGTCCAAGGGGTGTGTACGAGGGTACGTGAAAAAATAGAACTGAAAAATAATACGGATGTTTCCACGAACTTTCTGAAGTACCCTCAAATATTTGGAGAGATCCTCTCCAGGACAGGGAGGCATCCAGTCAATGTGGAAGGGTCCCCATTCTTCCTTCGCTAAGATCTGGCATCTTCCAATCTTCACCAGCAGGAAGTCCCAACTTCGATCTTACTCTCGGCTCTCTTGCTGCAGCTCCAGCCTGTTTCTATTCCCTGCAGCCCCATGCAGACTCTATTGATCTTCCCAGCCTTCCCCTAATCTTGTCAAGCCCCACATCCTGGGTTTTTCGGTATAAAACTACCCCCTCCACTTCTTTACCTTCCAAGCCCCTCCCCATCTTGTCGAGCCCCCCAAGACTCCGCCCAGCTAGCCCTCCTGCCCACGGCGGCAGCCAATAGCCGAGGACCTGATTTGCATAGCGGTACGGGGGGAGCGGCGGAGAGAAGGGGGAGGGACCAGACGACCTCCTAAATCAAAGTTGGGAGGCGAGGACTGGGCGGAGGGGCTGCCGGGTTCCGGGCTGGGGCCGGCCGGGGGCAGGGGCGGGGGAAGGGAATGGGGGGCGGGCGCAGAGGACGGCGGAGCCTGCCGGACACGGACAGCTCCGTCGCTCCCTCCCTCGTCTCATCCCCACATCCCCTCTTGCCTCCTCCCCTCGCCCGGAGCAGCATTCTCTGCAGACCCTTGGTCCTCACGCCCAGGGTCGTCCCGCTCCCGCGGCTCCGTGTAATTGCCTCCCTCTCACCCGCCAACTCGGCAACTTTCTCCGCCCGCACCCGGGGTGGGGAGGACTGCTTTGCCTGGGAAGATTTCTCCTGGGGTTCATTGGGGGGCAGTCTCTTCTTTAGAGACTGGGCTTCTGAGTCCCAGAGAGACGACCGCCACCCGCAGCCTGCCCCCAGCGAACCTGCCGTCGGGTCTCGGCACCCTCTCTTCCCCTCTCCCCCAACCATGACCGAAATGAGCGAGAAGGAGAATGAACCGGATGACGCGGCCACCCACGCCCCCCCAGGGACCGTCTCCGTCCTCCAGGAAACCAAGGTAACTCGAGGGGCGCGAGGCCCGGCCTCCACCCAGTGCGCCCCTGGCCCGGGGGCCCTCCTCCCGGCGCGGTGGCCACTGTGGGCTCGGGAGCGCTGGGGTCACGGTGACGGGGCCCGCGTGATCCCTAAGGCTCGGCGCCGCAACCCGGAGGGAGGAGTGGGTTCGCGATGAGGGACCGCAAGGAGCCCGCGATCACACAAGCGCGGCACGCCGGTGCGCACGAGAGGAGCGGACGCGCGCTCGCGACCCCCGGGGAGGTTGTAACTCGGCTTTGTTGGAGGGAGTCGGCGCAGCGCAGGCGGGGAGTGTGCGGCGGTGTGTAGCGGGCGTGGGCCGGTGTACGCCGCCGTGTGTGCGTGCGGGGCGCACCCCCTGCCGCGGCCGCCACTCTCCGTGCGTCTGAATATGTCTCTACGACCTGTCTGTCTCTGTCTGCATGTCTCTCTGCGAGCATCTCTCCCCGTCTCTCTCGGCTTCTCTGTGTGTTTGTGTCTCTGAGTCCCTGGGTGTCTCTCTGACCCACCGCAGTCCTGCCTTCTCCCCTTCCAACCCGGTTAAGCTCGGGGACGTGAGGCTGCGGCCGGGGGTGCGCAGCTTCCGAGTCCGCGCTGGGGGCTGCGGCAGAGCTGGCCGTCCGTCGCGGGCGGGGACCGTAGAACTGTTGTTGCGGCTCCAGAGCAGAAAGACAGGCAGCCCTACCCCCCACCTCGTGGGGGTGGGGGAACGGGGGGAGGGCGGGTAGAAGCAAAAAGAGAAGTCATCCTAATTAATGAATGTCATAATTAACCCTAATTGTGTATGATTGTTACTCCTGCGGGAGTCACAATGAATAAATTATTCCCCAGTGAAGGCAGGCGGGGCCCAGACTTCTGGCGCTGAAAGGAGTGGGGGGGAAGCCGCCGCTCACATGCAACCCCCCACCCCACAATCTGTCTGCGCCCTCCCGAAGTTCTAGGTGCTGGCGACTGACCCGAACAAAGTTCTGTGGGAGCAACCTGAGCGGGCCGGGGAAGGGGACAGAAGGGGCTGCGCGGAGGAGCCCCCCCCCCCGACTTCAGGCCAAAACCTCCTTCCCTCTCTCTTCCAGTCTGGTATTTTGTCCCCCTCCTGTTCCTATTATCCAGAGGAGAAGGGGGGCATGAGGACCAGAATTCCTTGGTATTAGTAGCTCATCTATAGCTTCTCCCTCTGTCCCTCTTCCTCTTCATTAGTTCTTGACCACCCTCAGGATATTAGGTTAATTCAAGGTCAAGGTCATCAAGAGAGTGACTAGAGGGAGATGAATAGGGCCAGAGTAGAGTCTGGCTGAGGTACCCCAGGTAGCTCCCTATCCCTGAACCCTGGGACCCAGCAGGCCTCCCTTTGCTTGCTTCCCAGGGGCTTGGGGGCCTCCCAGGCCCTGCCCTGCTTCCCACGCCAAGGCCTGTCTGCTCCATCCCCTCTTTAGGAACTCTCCGAAGGCAGGCAGGGATGCTGGGCAGTGCTGCCTCAGCAGTCCAGCAGGCTGCAAGCTCAGCTGTGTGGGGAGGGGGAGGTCAGGGCCTGGCAGGTCTGTACCTCCCTCCTCCCAGCCCAAAGACCCTCCAATGTCGTCACATCTGGGTCTGAGCCGTGGAGATCCAAGGAGCAGGAAAGGAGAGGGACTACAACCTGACCTGGCCCCTCTTTGCCAGGCCAGTGGGAGCCCGTTCCCTTGGCCACGCCCCCTACACTTCACCCTCATGAAGGACTCAGTAATAACAACACAGGCTAGGCTGTGGGCCAGGTTGGGGGGATTCAGCAGGGCAGAGGTGGGCAGAGAGAGAACTCAGGGCCCTTGCCAGCCTCCTTCCATCCCTCCACCTCAGCCTGGCACTGACCGTGTTCCCAGGCTGTAGGGGTTGGGGAGTTAGAAGAATAGGGGCTTGGCTGCTGCCCCCCAGGTCAGTGTGAGACAGATACAACAGAGGGGCTGTTGCGCATCAGGCAGCGAAGCCAAAATTCCAGGCTATTCACCAGTGTTTTATGCCCTTTGTGCTTTTCTTGCCAGCCCAAGAGCCCAGCCTCCTGCTTCCCCTAAGGCTGGGTCTCAGCCCTGCACCCAAGCTACTAGTGACCCTCCTAGTAGGTTCTCTTCCTCTCTGGGTCCCCATCCCATCCTACCACATAGGGCCTGCCCATCACCCCCTTTGGTGCCATCCCTGGGAGGACCCCGCCATGCCAACTCTGCAATCTGAGTCAGCTTGTGCCACGTCCACCACCACCCACTGCCAGCTGCCTAGTGCCCTTTCGAGAGATGCTGTGGGGAATTGAGGAAAAAAGGGGACGTCCAGGGTGGGGGGAGGTGGGGCAGAAACAGGCAGGCCAGGCCCTGCCTTGGGGAAGGGCTCCAGAAGAACAGGCCTCGTGGTCCAGGCTCCAACCCGGACAAGCTCCGGGTGCACTGGGAGGGAATAGGATCCAGTGGGCCACCTTGCTAGGGTATGTGGCAACTTCTCTCCATGCAGGGAATGAGTCCTGGGGCAGTGGGGGGACCAAAAAGATAGCTGGTGGGGAGATGGAGAAAGGTCTTGTCTGGGAACTAGAAGTCAGGAGAATACCTGGCCTGGCTAAGCCAAAATGAAGTTTTGGGTGGCCAAGCCAGATGTCTCTGGAGTTGGCAGGCATCAAGCCATTTGGCAGAGGTGCCCCCATCCTGCCCTCTAGCCACAGCCCTTGACATCTGCCAGCTACCCCAGGTGGCATGTTGTTCCTTCCTGCTTCTCTGTCCTCCTGGGATCTGAGGCCCCCAGCCAAGACAGGGAGTCAGCAGGCAGAGTTGGGGTTGCCCTGGTGCTGGGAACATTCTGTTCAGGACACCTCTGGTATCCTAGAGAGGTGGCTCTTGCCACTGAAACCAGGGGGTACCAGGAAAAGGCATAGGCTGGAGAGTAGGGAAACTTGAAATCTCATCCTATGAGGATTACTATGGAAATAATGGCCTTGGGAAGGGAAACATGATTGATGTCTTCAAATATTTGAAGGGCTGATGTGTAGAAGAGGGAGTAGCCCTTTCTGGAGCCAAGGCAGGAACAAAGGCCGTAGGCGAAAACCACAGGGAGGCAGGTTTCAGCTCTATATAGGGAAGCACTTTCCAGCTATTGCAGCTGCCCAAAGATGGAATGATTGTCCCAAGACAGGGTGTGCTTCCCATTGCAAGAGGTGACCAACAGAGTCAGACAACCATTCAGAGGAGATGTGGTCAGGGCGATGGGGTGGGGACTGCTCTAAGTGGCCAGTTTTTCTGGTCCCTTCTAACCCTAAAGTCCATGACTGACCTGGTGGAGAGGCCCATGGCACAGCTGAGGGGCAGAGGTGAGGGCCAAGGCAGGGTCCAGAGCAGCAGGATGCTCCTGGCCATTGGGCTCAGCAGCCGGAGCCACTGGCTCAAGTCCTGGCTCTGCTACTCACAAGCTGAGGACTCATGGGTAAGTGATTTCACCTTTATGCGTCTTAGTTCCTCATGTGAAAAGTGGGACAACGGTCTTCACCACCTGTGACAGTAGCATCAGGATTAAGGAGATGCTGCATATAGAATGCTACCAGTACTGTGACAATGACAGCCCCTCACAGATGTCAGTTTCTGGGGTTTGGGGGGACCTAGAGCCTATATTGCTTACAGAGTATCTAGTCTTGCCTCCTCCCTCATGGTTGTGGGGAAACTGAGGCTCAGAGAGAGGAAGTAGAGTGGTTGCCTTCAGGCAGCACCCTCACAGATGTCAGTTTCTGGGGTTTGGGGGGACCTAGAGCCTATATTGCTTACAGAGTATCTAGTCTTGCCTCCTCTCTCATGGTTGTGGGGAAACTGAGGCTCAGAGAGAGGAAGTAGAGTGGTTGCCTTCAGGCAGCAGGTTTAGTCTTGCCCCCACTCCCAGCACAGCACACCCCCCAGAGACCCAATGTACTCTGTGCTTGAGGTCCCTGGGCAGAACAGTGGGTGATTCAACTGCCTCTTGGGGTCCATCAGAGCTCCCAGAGTCATGTTTGGCCCTGGATGGCCCACAGCCTGGCCTGCGCTGGTATTTGTGTTCTAATTAATTGTCTCTCTGCCCCTCTACCTCTGCTTCCATGCCCAGGCATCTGGGGCCCGGGGCCTTGCTTCTCACAGATACACAAAGAAGCCCATAGTACTGTCCAGGAAGCTGGGTTTGGAAGGAGCTGAGCAATTCAGCATGCCAGACACTCCAGAGCTCTGGCCTCCCAGCTGGCACACCAAGGCCTGCCTTGTGCCCAAATATCCCCTCATTGCTTACCCCTCCATTTTGCTGCCTGCTGGCCTCCCAGCGGCTGGAGGGGCCACCACTTCCATCCCCTTGGCACAATTGCCAGGCAGGCAGACATGGTACACAGGCTGGCTGGCGTGCCAGCTGGCAGCCCTGGCCAAGTGTCTCTGCCTGGAGCCAGGTCTGTGGCCCCCTTTTCTATTGCTGGTAGAAAGTAGTGAGCAGGAGTAAGGCAGCTCTCAACAGGAGGGGAGAGAGGCAAGGCTCTGGGTAGAGAAGTTTCTAGAACTTGCTCTGGACAGACTCAGTAGGAGTGTTTGGGTGAGCAGTGGAAATGACTCTGGCCTCACTGTAGAATCGACCCTGTGCCCAAGAACATGGGCTCCGTTTAGGGTTCCAGACATATGTTCATCATTTATTCAACTGAGGTACATTGCCCTTTTTTTTTTCTTTTTTCAAAAAATGACCCATGGGCCGGCCCGGTGGCGCACTGGATAGTGCGCCGCTTGGGAAGCGCGGCGGCGCTCCCGCCCAAGGGTTCGGATCCCACATACAGACCGGTTCCTGCTCACTGGCTAAGCGAGGCGCGGGAGCAACATCGAGGGTTGCGATCCCGTTGCCGGTCCCTGGTCCGGTACGGGGGCAACCCTGAGGGTTGCGATCCGTTGCCGGACACGGAAAAAGACAAAAGACAAAAAAAAAAAAAATGACCCATAAGGGGATCTTAACCCTTGACTTGGCCTTGTCAGCACCTCGCTCTCCCAAGTGAGCTAACCGGCCATCCCTATATAGGATCCGAACCCGTGGCCTTGGTGTTATCAGCACCACACTCTCCCAAGTGAGCCACGGGCCGGCCCTTAAGTGTTGAGGCCTTGTGTGGGGATTTAAAGCTACTGTGCCTGCTGTCAGGGGGCTCATAATCTCCTGGGGGTGTAAGAAGTAAACTACAGCAGTAACCTGGTTGGAGCCATAGTGGAAGTCAGTACTGGATGCAGTGGGCACCACAGGAGGGAGGGGTTCCATGAAATGGAATTTCTGCAGAAGAGACAGCTTCCCAGAGGACAGGGGCCATTGGAAAGATATTGAAAGGACAAAGAGGGTATTAACTGGATAAGGCAGAGAAGAGGACAGGCATGTCAAAAGCTCAGAGGCATTAAAGCATGAATGAGTTAGAGAATCCTCACATCTGGGCTGCAGGTGGAAGGTATGGGATGGAAGGGCAGGTTTGGCCAAGTTGCAAGGGGTCCTGAGGAGCCATGAAAGGTTGCCAGCAGGGTCAGGGATCATCTCCCTGACAACTGTATGGCAGATGGCTGTAGGGGATAGGCGAGGTGGAGGCAGGGGGCTGGGGAGGGGCTGTGGTTCTGAGCCAGACTGGCGCCATCAGGGCTTGAACTAAGCAGGGCTGCGGAGGAGATAAGAAGATGGGCTGGAGAGATGTTTTGGGGAAAGAATCATCTCTGAGGATGAGGGTCCAGGATGACCACTCCCCACCTGCCCTCAGCCTGTTCAAGAACACAAGTGGAAAACTGAGGACCTAGTGTGTTTTGCTTGGCCCCCAAAGTGTTATTTTTTTTTAACTTAAGTAAATGGTACACCCATGAAATACTGTGTAGCCATAAAAAAGAATAATGAAACACTTTATGTACTGGTATGAAATGATTCCCAAGATTTACTGTTAAGTGAAAAAAGCAAGTTGCAGGCAAAATAGTATACCTGCAAAATAGTATATTTCTGCAAAGGAAAAAGGAAATAAAAGCTCTTAAATGTGTTTCTATCCAATGTCACATAAAAGTTTAGATATTCTTCTGAAAAACTGGAAAAGCTGGCAACTCTGGGCTGGCCTTACGGACTAGCCTCAGCTGGCAAAAGAGACGAGCAGCTGCTCCCTGGCTGTCCAGTTTGCCACAGTCCCCACCACTCCTAATTGTGTGCCTGTCCCACCAGAACTCCTTTCTTCATGGTGGTTACCTGCCTGGCCCTGTAGGCATCTGGGATTGTCACCCACCATCTGGAACTTGGGAGCCTCTCTCTTAGTCCTTCATCTTGGCCCTGACCCACAGCCCCCACGGTGCTGCTGCCTTCACAGGAGAAAGGAAGCCTGCCATGGGCCAGCCCCTTCTAGGCTCCCACTCGGCTGCTCTTCTCCTCTCAGCTCCAGCGATTCAGGCGTTCACTCTCCCTCAAGACCATCCTCCGAAGTAAGAGTGTGGAGAACTTCTTCTTTCGCTCGGGCGCTGAGCTCAAGTGCCCCACAGAGGTGCTGCTGACGCCCCCAACGCCACTGCCCCCTCCGTCCCCACCATCCACATCGGCAGACAGGGGCCTGCCCACCCCAGCCCCCCCCCCGTGCCCAATCCCACGCCATTGTCACCCACCATCTGGAACTTGGGAGCCTCTCTCTTAGTCCTTCATCTTGGCCCTGACCCACAGCCCCCACGGTGCTGCTGCCTTCACAGGAGAAAGGAAGCCTGCCATGGGCCAGCCCCTTCTAGGCTCCCACTCGGCTGCTCTTCTCCTCTCAGCTCCAGCGATTCAGGCGTTCACTCTCCCTCAAGACCATCCTCCGAAGTAAGAGTGTGGAGAACTTCTTCTTTCGCTCGGGCGCTGAGCTCAAGTGCCCCACAGAGGTGCTGCTGACGCCCCCAACGCCACTGCCCCCTCCGTCCCCACCATCCACATCGGCAGACAGGGGCCTGCCCACCCCAGCCCCCTCCCCGTGCCCAATCCCACGCCCCCTGGCACCACTCAAACCAGTGAGGCTGCACAGCTTCCAGGAACATGTCTTCAAGCGAGCAAGCCCTTGTGAGCTGTGTCATCAGCTCATTGTGGGTAGGTGCCAGGGCACTGAGGTGGGCACAGGGAGGGGCCAGGGTGTGCTTTGAGGAGTAGTCCCATGGAACTGCCTGATATTGGGCTCTTGCTCTTCAGGACCCTCAATGCTGACGGTGCCTCTCACCCTGGGTGGACAGATGAGCACTGTTGAGGGTGGGGGTGTGCCCGGTGTTGCGCCGTGTTCACTAACCGTGCAGGCTTCAGTGCCACTTCACACCCTGACTGTATGAGGGGTGGGCGCTAGGCCCCAAGGCTGGCATGAGAACGCCCAGCTCCCTGCTGTCTCTCCGTGCCCTAACCTGCCTTCTTCACTCCTTCCCCATGGGGGCATCCCCCGCTGACTAGCGCCTCTGGCTGCATGCAAATCTTCCTAGGAAACTCCAAGCAGGGCTTGCGATGTAAGACGTGCAAAGTCAGCGTCCACCTCTGGTGCTCTGAGGAAATCTCCCGTCAGCAATGCCCAGGCAAGACGGTGAGCGGGGACCATGCAGAGACGGCTGGCTACACGTGCCCCTGGGACTGCCATGTGGGGGAATGAGTGCCCCTCAAGGCTGGCTCCTCCCGTGACATGGTCCCTGGGCTTGGGAACGGCCAAGTCTCAATGGGCTGTGACCTACCCATGCCCTCTCTCTGCCCATTCCTGCCACAGTCCACCTCCTTCCGTCGCAACTTCAGCTCCCCCCTCCTGGTGCATGAGCCACCACCAGCCTGTGCCATAAGCAGAGAGTCCCCACCCACTGGTGAGTGTCCCCATTGCCCCTGTTCCCACTGTGGCATGTTGAAAAATGTTCACATTCCTCAGATGGGCACTGAGTCACACTGGCACTGCCAGTTCTTGGTGCTCCTACCACTTCCCTTCTCTGGATATTCCTGTCCTTTATGTAGGGTTCACTCACTCATTCATTCATTCATTCATTCATTCATTCATCCTTAAACAAACACTTATTGAGCACCTACTGAGTGCCAGGCACTGTGCTAGACACTGTGGAGTTTACGGTCTACTAGAGGAGAGAAGGACAGGGAATAAAGAGTGTGACGTGCACGCTGTCCTCGTCTGCAGTCAAGGAAGGCTTGCTGGAGACATGAAGGATGAGGAGTTAGTCCGTTGAGGATCTGGGGAAGACTGGTGTGAGCAGAGGGAGGCTTGAGGTGGGAAGGGGCAGGGCGTCAAAGAAAGAAGGAAGAGTGGCTGGGACCAAGGAAGTAAAAGGGATGTGTGCGAAGGGACCCTGGGCACAGGCCTTGGGGTCCACTTTAGGATTGTCTTCTGGACTTTATTCTTTTTTTTTTTTAACCCCACCCCACCACTATCCCCACACGTGCCCCAGAGCCTGGGTACCTCTCCCTGAGTCCTCTCAATGATCTGGCTGGGCTTTTGGAGTCAGGCCCCCTCTTCCACTCCCTGCCTCTTTTCCCTGTGCCAGAGACCCCACCCTGTGCGCAAAGGCCTTAGGGTCCTTCTCCCCGAGTTCCCTTCACAATTCGCTGGACTTCAGAGTCAGGTCACCTCCCCCATCGCATGCCCCTTTTCCCTCTAGACTTTATTCTAAGGAGAAATGTTGTGTTTTTACGAAAGCGTTCTAGCTGCTGAGTGAATTGCACAGGCTGCAATGGAGGCAGGGAGATCGGTTGGGAGGCTGTCGTGCTTGTCAAGAGTTTGGTAGTTTGACCAGGCTGGGAGCAGTGGAGATGGAGAGGTGTGGGCAGATTCTAGGGATGTTTGGGAGGTAGGACTAGGGGGAAGAGTGGACGTAAGCAGCGAAGACAGCGAAGAGGCAGGGATGCCCCAGGTTCCTGCATGGGTGCCATGGGAGGACATAGAGCTGTCACTGGGATGAGGAAAACCTGGCAGAGATGGGGGGTGGACAGATGGGGAGTTCAGCCAGGGGCATGCCCAGCCAAGGTGCTAGGCCTCGAGGGTGGATCTTCAGCAGGGGCCAGCGGGAAAGTGGATCCCGTCTATGAGACCCTGCGCTATGGCACCTCCCTGGCACTGATGAACCGCTCCAGCTTCAGCAGCACCTCTGAGTCCCCCACACGGAGCCTGGTATGGTGGCCACCAAAGGGGAGCTTCAGGGGGAGGGGTGTCTGAGCATGACAGCAGGGCCAGGGGCTGAGCTCTTCCCTCTCTGTGTCCCCAGAGTGAGCGGGATGAACTGACTGAGGATGGGGAAGGCAGCATCCGCAGCTCAGAGGAGGGACCTGGTGACAGTGGTGAGCAGGGATGGGAATCGGGCAGGAATGGAGGACAGTGGGGGGGCCACTCCCTACTGCCTCACACCCTGCCCCCACCATGGCATCTCCAGTATTCACAGCCCCAGCTGAGAGCGAAGGGTCAGCAGCAGAGGAGAAGAGCCCTGGACAGCAGGTGAGCCCGTACTGGCACTGAGCGCCACCCCCACACATCACCCCCCGCAGGCCAGCGTGGGAAAGGGGTATCACTTCTTGTCATCGATCCATAGGTGGATGAGAACACAGTGAGTGGAGATTCACTGCTCCCTCACTCATGCTCCGTCCCCGGGGCTGGGTGAGAGGCACAGGAGGCAGGGTGCTACCTTCTCCCACGCCCCCACTGCCTATTGCACTCACTCCTGCTCCCCCAAGGGCAGGCAGTTCCAGGGTGCGGCAGGCAGAGGGCTGCCCCCCCCATGCCTGGTCCAGTCACCCGAGGGGTGGGAGAGCACAGCAGGTAGGAGGGTCTTTTCACTGTCATCGACCCGGGACCCACTGCCCCACCTCCTAGTTGCCCAGGGTAGGCATGCTCAGAGCAAATGGGTAGCTGAGGGAGTGAAGATTTCACCCTCCCACCACTGACCCAGAGCTTTTCCCACAGCCCCCTAAGCCCCCCCTGCGGAAGGATGTGGGGCCCATGTACTCCTACGTTGCGCTCTACAAGTTTCTGCCCCAGGAGAACAATGACCTGGCTCTGCAGTAAGTCCCCTCTGTGTCCTGGCCTAACTGGGCAGCTGCCTGGTGCCAGCCTCAGGGATC